AATGACCATAAGTCACATCCGAAATGACCGGTGTCATTTCAAAAAAAGTAAAATGACCCGGTCATGTGCCAACACTGATTCACATAGAACATTTGCTACCCAATCTGAATCCTTAAAAGGGGTACTATAAGGCCAACATACTAATGGGAAGCTCGCTAACCATTCTTTTTGTTAGAGTTATTTAAATCAATGTTTAGTAATAATTCCCAAAAGATTATTGTCGTTGATTGCGAAAAGTAGACCTTCGCTATAAGCAGCAATTAGTCTGTGGTGAAGATTAGTGAGATTATAAATTAGATGTGAGTGTAAAATCATGTGGGGTGTGAAACGCGTAAAATGTAATTTTTTTTCATAAAGGCTCTGTATGGCGAGACAATTTGATGACATTGTTGTTCGGTGAAAGTTGTCAGTTGTGCTCTATATTCAATTCTTAGAACAATGACAGTATTAAATATATAAGTAAGTTGTTTATCGGTGAGCTGTTTTTTAAGCATTATTGTAACCGCGTTTTTTACTTCGCTTTTGATTAATTTATTGGTGAAAGATTTGTTACGCTCTAGTGATATCCAAACACCCAAATATCTTGTAGATTCATTGATTGAGAGCGGAGGAATAACTGTAGAGGCAGTGATGTCCATTTCCTATGTCCCAAGCATTTGCTGTCTCAGCTATATGTCCTAACTATATGTCCCAACTATGTCCCATATATGTCCCAAATGTCCCATCTGTCCCATCAGTGTCCCATCAGTATCCTAACTATATCTCATGACAACACTGTGTAGAGGTACCATTGATATTACATATAAATGGGTTATCAATGTCATTGCGATTTATAAGTAAGACAGACTTTTCCCAGTTCACTTTGATAGAATTGAGTTGGTAAAAACTATCCGCTATGTGTATGATTTGGTCCAAATCCTCAAGTGATTTTGCAATTCAAAGGGTATCGTCCATGAATGCTAATGTTGATGTTTTGATAGTGATGGATTTATTGATATTGGTCAGAATATTTGGCTTCCATTTGTGTGTAAGAGAGTAACTGTGCATTGAGTTTTGAATTCTACAGAGGAGTGGGTCATAATATATACACCATAATAACGGTGAAATAATTTCTCCTTGGTCAATTCCAGACATTACTCGATATATGTCAGTATTACCGAACATAGTAAAAATTTGGTTATAATGATTTCTGAAGATTTTCATAATGAAACAAATAAAATTAAAGGGTATATGAAGTCGTTCTAACGCTCTAACCAGCATGAACAAATTTACCTGGTCATATGCTTTAGACATATCTTGTAATAAGACCCAAATCTCACTTTTGTTATGCATAGCATCATATTTTATGTTATCGATAATGTGAAGGGGTTCAAAAGTTGATTTAAAAGGTAAACCTGCGAAGTTAAGTCCTTTTAGGATGTTGTGTTCGATCATTATGATAGAAAGATGACGAGTTAGGAGTTTGATGAATGCTTTACGAGGACATTTGAGAAGCGTAATATGTCTTATATTATTCAAATCGTATTCCCACGGTTTGGGTTTTGGAATTGGATAAACGAACGTATGATTCCACCTATGTGGTAATGCTGATAATTTAAGGCAACCACAAATTATGTACCATAGTAGTTTTCTGGAAAGAGGACCCAAATGTTTTAACATCTCGTTCGAGATTTTAGAAGGACCGGCCACTTTACCGTCAGGTAACGAATCAATTATGTTGTACCATTCGTCTCCTTCTAGAGGAGTCATTAGTTTGTTGTATACTGAATTGTCAATACCATCCACTGGTCTGTATGATGGGATCCACTCCTCAGGAATATCCACATGCTCATGAGACGTGCCAGCAGCCATCTGAAAATGACGAGCTACTTCTTTTTTGACTTGTGTTTCGTCCGTAAGCAATTCATGTGATGAGGAAGAATTATCGATGTATCTATCTAATAAGATTGTCTTCCTAGCTCTTTCCAATATAGAATCAATCATTTTTGCAGGGGATGAAGTATAATTCTCAAGCCTTTTTTCAAGCGCTTGTTGAATTAATTTCAGTTTGTATTCGTATTTATGGAGTTTAGATTTGACAAAGGTGGCAGCTAAAATGTGATCAACATAGTACATAAGCGACTGTACTAAGGTGACCGTTGGAAGTGGTGGCAATCGAATAAACGAAAACTGAAACTCTTCCAGAATAATATAGAACCGCTTCACATTTGGTGTCCAGTTATCATCGAGAACACAGTTTCGAAAAAAATTTTTAATGACTTTTTTAAATTTATATAAAAATTTCATGTTCTTATAAAGTTTAAGCAGGATAGGTGAGCGTTTCATGTTATGGTGTCCTTTGGATTATTTTGATGGTATGGTCTTATCAGCAGCTTTAATGATACATTCCTGCAATAAGTCCCAATAGCAGTTCAACTTATTTTGATCAAAAGTAGTATGGTTGTTGAGAAATCGAAGAGCACATCCCATAGCCAGTGCATCCACTTTCTCGTTAAATTTACCCCACATTTCTGTGATCATTTTGTCTAAGTTGAATACTTTCTTCAAAGGAATCTTCCGTTTGGTTTGTTTGATGTTGAGAAAATTTTTACATTTGAGTATTACAATTGAGTGATCTGATAAGTTGGAAGAAACATCTACCGTAGAACATTTAACCAGGTGTGAAGTGATATCTACTGAAGACCATACGTAATCAATGCGCGAAGTCACATTATGAGAATGGAAAGTTGGATAATTCACTCAAAGTCTATCAAACATTATCGTACAGGAATCAAAAAGATTCATGTTTTGAATTGTATCGAAAAAATTTTTATTGATTTTAGTGAGGTTGGGTTTATCTATATCTGCATTGAAGTCTCCTAAAAGAAGAATGTGAAAATTATTTGATATAGCTGAACATAAAATTTTGAATAATTCAGTGTAGACTCGTTTTTTTGTATTGATATCTGCTGGTGGTATATAACAATTAATAATTTTCAACTTTTGTTTATTTGAAAATTGAAGGTCAGCTGAGATAATTCGATTGAGGAAAGAATCATGACAAAACACATGATTGGCTAGCTGAGGAGTCAGTAAAAGGCTAACACCAAAACCAGTAGTTTGCGTATTATTGTGTGGTTGTTTACCAAAGAAACCAATATATTGATGAGCAAAGTTTAAATGAAAATGGGAGAGGTTATTTTTGGAGAAGTTAGTTTCTTGTAGGCCTATTACATCAATATTTAGTAAAGAATAGAATTCTACGAGAGTGTGTTATTTTGCAGGGTTGGTAAAGAAGCGAGCGTTATGTGTTGCAAAGGAAAGGGATGTGAAAAGAAAATAATATTATTCAATATATCAGATTGTGCAGCTAGTGCATCATCAATGGTAGTGATAGTGTTCATATTAAAAATTATTGAGAGGGGTTCCTGGAGTACAACTCCATTTCTTGGTCATACTGAGTACTCAGTGCCAAAATCGTATTAGCCTGATCTTTGGGAAGGAGATCACGTTCAATCAAAATGGATTGAAATGAGAAGCAAGACTTTACTAAAGTGTTAACTATGGAGGTTACTGATTTAAGGTGATTATTTTGCATTTGATTGATAGATCAGAGGTCCTCAATCGTTTTTTGTTGTTTGAGGATAAGTGATGCTGAAGTATCAATAGAGGCTTCGATATCTTCATCCATTTCATCAGCATTAAGATTTTTGCACTCAGCTTCAATCGGGATGATCCAGGGTTGGCCCAATGGCTAATGGATCCAATAGACCAATAACCAATGGATCCAATGGATGTTGGTTTATTGAAAAAGTCCAATGGATCTATAAGGAGACATTGGATCTATTGAGATCTTTAATTTAATTGGTTAATTTATTATATATGAATTTAATTAATTTTAAAACTCATAACTCATCAACCATAAATGCTAGAAATATGAATTTATATTTATTTTAATTCTTAAACCTTAGAGTATATTCAATAAAAATTTGAAATTGGATTACTAATACCAATTTTGCGCAATTTATTAATTTATATCAATTTTTTATTAAATTAAATTTAAGCATAGAAAATATTTTTGAGCAGGCTGCTTACTAAAAAACTGATATTGAATTCCGATTCTCCTCAATGCAACGACTTCAACAAGCTAAAATTCATCAAAATCGGATCAGTAGATTAGCAAAAAATTGATCTACAAAATCACATTGTATAATGTCTAATTATATGGTAATGTGACTTGTAGATCGATTTTTCACTGATCTACTGATCCGATTTTGACAAATTTTAACTTGTTAAAATCAATGCACTGAAGAGAATCGGAATCTAGTATCAGTTTTTTAGTAGGCAGCCTGCTCAAAAATATCTTCTATACTTTAAATCAATATAAAATATAAAGCATTATATATATATTTAATAATATTATAATATAAAAAAAAATATTTAAAAATAACAAAAAAAATTTAATATATATTACATTAAATATAAAATAATATAATAATAAAAATTTATTTATTAAAATAAAGATAAAAATGTTATAAAATTTAAAATAAAATAAAAAAAATTACAAAATTATAAATTTGCTATTCTATATTTAACTCAGAAATAAAACTTGATGCATCCATTCCTAAAAGAAATAATTCACTTAATTTCCACTTTGCTCTTATATCATTAGCAGGATGTATACTATTAAGAGTAGCAAAAGAATTTGAATTAAATTCATCTAATTCTTCTTCAATTTCCTTCTCAATAATGCTTCATTCTCATCATTGATTATATCTAACCATTTTTCAATAATTTTTTTCCAATCATCTATACTTTTATTTGAAGAATTAAATTCTTCAAAATCTAATTCTTCTATTTCTGAATCTTGTTCATCATCTATTTGATTTGTTTGAATTTCTTTGTTAAATTTATATTTGATTTTTCATTTCTTAATTTAACAATTTCTCCACGAATTTGAGCTATTTTTAATACTTTATCATACTGAATAAATTTAATAAATTAATAATTATTTAATATAAATATAAATTAAAATAAATTAATTATACATACCTGTAATCTATTTCTAATAGGTGTTTGAATATTTTTCATTGAAGAAAATAATCTTTCTAATGATGCTGAATTTACTGAAATAGCATAAATTTGACAAGCTACTTTAGATAATTCACCTTCATCATTATTAATAAATAACCAATATGAAAGGATATTATTTTGAAATTGATCTCAAAATTGAATCTGAAATTCTTGTACTTTTGACATATATCTACTATATTCTAAAAGAATATTTGTTGGTTTTATTTCAAACCATGCTTCATAATAATAAATTAACCAACTATTAATTGTTGTTGAAATCTTTAGTTGTACTGCAGAATTAAAATAAACATTTCTATAATTTGGATGTAAAAGAAATGAAAGTAATAAAATGGGTTATTCCCATTATTTCCAACGTTTTTCTAATCTTGCTAACATATTTTGTCCAAAATTAATATTTGAATGAAATTTATACATTTTAATAAAAAATGCAAAACAATGTAAAACTTCAAATAATTTTACTCCATCACATTGTAGCTTATTTAATGCACCACATAAAGGAGTCAAATTATTTTTTAAATTTAATAAAGAATTCCAAAATTCATCATCTTTAATTATTAAACAAATTTTGGAATTTATTGGTAATTCATTTTGAGGGAGATTACCATATTTTGCTACTAAAGTCTAATAAATTTATTTAATTAAATTAAAATTATAAATTAATAAATATATAAATTAAATTAAATAAACCTGTAATGCAATTTGACTATTTAAAATACTTGAAAAACATAAATGATAACTATTTCACCTTGTTTCACAAGATCTTTGTAAAGGCATAGTTTTTTTGTAAATTTCCATTTGTTCTATACGAAGTTTTCCAGTATAATAAGTTGAAAAATTAAAAAATGAAATAATTTCAATAGCTTTAACAGATATTTCATGAAAATAAGATGATTCTTTAAAAATATCTGCTACAACAAGATTTGTTTGATGTGCAAAACAAGGCATAAAAATAATATTACGATATTTATTACGTAATACTTTTCTAAATATTAAAATGATAAAATTAATATTTTTTATTATAAATAAGGTTTAATAATTTATTTTACCTTGCTGCTGTATATTCTCCTGCTGAATCTGTAATAATACAAATTATTTTTAAGTTATCATTTCTACTATTTTCTAACTATTTTTCCATTAAATCAACTACATTTTGAGTACGAGAACGTTCACTAGACATGTCTTGAACACCCCAGATAAGACTTTTTCCAGTAGATGTCATTACTACTGTTCCAATAAGTGATTGACTAACTATGTTTTTCCATTCATCAAATGTAGCAGTTAATCCAATTTTTTCTTCTTGTGCAACTTTTAAAATTTGTTCTTGTATAGATTTTGAAGTATCATTTAAAATTTTACCTGCTAAAGATTTTCTTGATGGTAACTTCAAACCAGTATTTGCAAATTCTATTAATTCTTGTGCTGCTTTATCTTCAACCTAACGAAAAGACCAATTATTTGAAATAGTTGTTTTTAATACTAATCTTTTCTAGTATTCTGCACTTTCTTCAGATAAATGACGTGGCATGTAATATTCTATTGAACTCTGTAAAGGTTCAGAAATAGCAAAAGTTGGATAAGATCCTGTTCTAGAACTTTCACATGATTTATTTGATTTTGTAATGGAAATTGACATTTCATCATCAAGATTTATAATATCTATTTAAAAATATTTATAAATAAATTAAAAATTAAAAAAAAATTAAAAAAATAATTTAATTTAGTATACCTCTTTCATCTTGTTTACATTTGCCTAAAGATTTTTTTTGTCTGTTTTCTTTTTCTTCTTGAATAATTTTAGCTAAAATTATATTCCATGTTTCATCATTATATAATGCTTTAAAATTAGAACAATTTTTTAAATGATTACGACAAATTGATCTTTTATTTGTAAGATTTTCTATGCTAGTAAATGGATCATTTATATTAGAACATGCTTTACAAATAGCTATTTTATTACTTTTATTTTTTTTTTATCTAAAATATCAAAATATGTTGTCCATTGATGTGGTGGTTTACCACCATGAGCTTTTTTTGACATGTTTGATTTTAAAATTTTTAAATTTGATTTTAAAAATTTGATTTATATAATAAATTCAAATATTTGTGACAAAATTTATAAATAAAAATTTTTATTGATTTGTTTTATTAATTTTAATTTATGGCGATATATCAGAAATTTGGCAGTATTCTTTAGGTAATATAGATTATAAGCAATGTTTATAAATATTTTAATAATATGTGGTAGAGTATGACAAAGTTTATAATATTATAATTTTTAATATTTTGTGTAAGAGTATTTTCTTTTGAGTCATTTGCAAAAAAAAGTAATAAACAAATGCGACTTTAATGCTTAAAGCATTGATTTATAATAAATCATGCAAATAAATAGACACCTCCAATATATGAGGTATATGAGGCACTTATTATGCAAAAAAACAAATATTTTGAAAAAAACAAACTCCTCTGATGTTCGAGGCATTCATTTATTGGCAAAAATTTAATTTGTAAATAAATGAGTATACACAACATATAAGGTATTTATTTTTGTAAAAAAAGTTGCTAAAAAATAAATGCCTCTGACATCAGGGCATTCATTTATTGGCAAAAGTTTGATTTTACAAATAAATAAGTATATCAATATATGAGGTGGCAGTGTCTAATTTTGCAAAAAGAAATTTTGCAAAAAAATAAACAACTCTAAAGTTTAGGACTTTTAATTATTAGCAAAAATGCCTTTGATGCTTTTATTGCAAAAATAAAAGCTTTTTTATAAAAATTGATGTCTCTGATGTTTGAGACATTTATTATATGCAAAATTTTTTAATTTTTTTTGCAAAAATGACGTTTCCGATGCTTTTGAGGCATTCATTTATTACAAAAAATATATGGTTTTTGCAAAAATGAACAATCCACTTTGGTGTTGTTTATTTTATGCAAAAAATTAAAATTTTTTGCAAAAATGATACCTCTGATGCTTTGAGACATTCATTTATTACAAAAAATTTTATTTTATTTTGCAAAAATGATGCCTCTGATGCTTGAGACATTCATTTATTTAAAAAAAATATATTTTTTGTAAAAATGAACAATCCACTTCGGTCTTATTCATTTTATGCAAAACATTAAATTTTTTTTGCAAAATTGACGCCTCTGATACTTGAGACATTCATTTATTGCAAAATTTTTAATTTTTTCACTAAAATGATGCCTCTGATGCTTAAGGCATTCATTTATTGCAAAAAAATATATAGTTTTTGCAAAAATGAATAATTCACTTCAATGTTATTCATTTTATAAAAAATATTAAATTTTTTTGCAAAAATGATGCTTCTGATGCTTAAGGAATTCATTTATTGCAAAAAAAATATGGTTTTTGCAAAAATGAATAATCCACTTCAATGTTGTTCATTTTATGCAAAATATTAAAATTTTTTGCAAAAATGATGCCTCTGTATTCATTTGTTGCAAAAATTTTAATTTTTTTTTTGCAAAAATAACGTTTACGATGCTTGAGACATTGATTTATTGCAAAAATTTTTAACTTTTTTTGCAAAAATGACGTCTCCAATACTTGAGGCATTTATTTATTACAAAAAATAAATGGTTTTTGCAAAAATGAACAATCCACTTCGGTGTTGTTCATTTTATGTAAAATATTAAAATTTTTTTGCAAAAATGAAGCTTCTGATGCTTGAGGCATTCATTTATTGCAAAATAATATATAGTTTTGCAAAAATGAACAATCCACTTTGGTGTTGTTCATTTTATGCAAAATATTAAAATTTTTGCCTCTGAAGCTTGAAGCATTCATTTGTTACAAAAAATTTAATTTTTTTTTTGCAAAAATGACGCTTCCGATGCTTGAGACATTGATTTATTGCAAAAAATTTTAACTTTTTTTGCAAAAATGACGCCTCCGATGCTTGAGACATTTATTTATTTAAAAAAAATATATATATTTGTAAAAATGAACAATCCACTTCGGTCTTATTCATTTTATGCAAAATATTAAATTTTTTTTGCAAAAATAATGCCTCCTATTCTTGAAACATTCATTTATTGCAAAAAATTTTATTTTTTTTTGCAAAAATGACGCCTCTGATGCTTAAGACATTCATTTATTGCTAAAAAATATATGGTTTTTGCAAAAATGAACAATCCACTTTAGCCAATACTTAAGGCATTGATTTATTGCAAAAAATTTTAATTTTTTTTGCACAATGATGGCTCCGATGCTTGAGACATTCATTTATTACAAAAAAAATATTTTTTTAAAAAATGAACAATCCACTTCGGTGTTGTTCATTTTATACAAAACATTAAAATATTTTTGCAAAAATAACACCTCCTATGCTTGAGGCATTTATTTATTGTAAAAAATTTTAATTTTTTTTTGCAAAAATGATGTCTCTGATGCTTGAGGCATTCATTTATTGCAATTTATTTTTGCAAAAATGACACTTCCGATGCTTGAAGCATTTATACATTTATTGCAAAAATATGTAAAAATCAAATAAACCATGAAGTCATTTATTTTTGTAATTTTTTTTTGACAAAATTAAATTATATTATATGTTGGCCAATAGATCCCAATGGATCCCAATGGATCATCATCTATTAAGATCCATTGACCAACGATCTATTCATGCATGCTTCGCCATTTGGATCCAATGGATTACCAATGGATCTGATCCATTGAATCATTTAGCTATTGAAGTCCAATGGATCTGATCCATTCCCAACCCTGAGATGATCACCTTGACGTTTAAAGCTTGTTCAATTGATTCAACTCTTTTGACAGTAAATGCGAGAGTGGTCATGACGTCAACTAATGTTTTTTTAAATTAGCGAATTGTGAGAAGATAAAGGCTCTCACATCAACATTGGTGTTATCATGCATTGAGTCTCCAGCTTTTGTGCCTTTAGCTAGATTGTTCATTTGCGACAAATAAATGAATTGATCAATAAGAATAGTTTCTTCTGTACTATAAGGAACCTCATCTGACCAGGAAGATTTGGGCTCCTTGACTAATGAGTCTGAAGTTTTCTTATTGTTTGGGATATCCCTGCCCTGTTTTGGTGGAGGTGGAATAGGTAGAGTAGAACCTTTACCATTCTGTTGTTTGGTAGCATCAGCAAATGTGATATCTGGGTTTACTGTGCCTCTCATCTTTTCGGTGCTTTATAGTTTGAAAATTGAGCAGGTTGAAAACGCTGATAGAGATTCTGAACACTACGATCAGCTGGTTGTTTTCTTCTTTTTAGGCAGTCACTTGCTTTGTGATGAGGTGATGAACAAATTGCACAAAGTTTCGCATTTGCAGTAGTCCATGTCATGTGTTTTCTATCGATCGTGAGATTTTTATTACTTATGGCTGCTTCAAAATCATCAGCTGAAGAAAAATAGAAAAAAGCATGTTGTAAATTATGATAATTAGAACGTGCTTTAGGTATAATCCATGCTAAAGCATTGACCATATGGCCAATGTCCAAAAGTTGTTTCCCCATAGTAAACCTAAGAAGTCCAGCCAACTTCGCCAAAAATTTTGATTTCGCAAGGATATTCTTTTTTGCTAAGTCACATCAATGCACTCTGACCATATTATTTAGAATAAAAATGCTATGGCATGTTGCAAGTTTCGTAAAATCTGTGTTTTTCGCAAATGTGATTGTGGCTTGTTGCCACATATTTTTGGTTTTCATATTGAACTTGACGATCGTACCAAATTTAGAAAAGACCGTTTTGATTTGATGTATAGTGGTGTCCAGGGGAATTTCTATAACCTTAATTAATTGGACTGGAATAAAAGGATGTGTCAGAATAATCTCGAGTGTGGAAAATGTGTGATCTGCCAAATTGGGTAATTGTACTGTGCATACGTGATCTCTTTCTTCTTTGTTGCAAAAAGAAATTTTAATTATTCGTTGTAATTGGTTTGTTGGGTGTTTGGTAGCAATAGCTCCTGTAAAGGAGTCATATTTGTCAAAAAAGAGGTCTATAATACGAGACGTTTTTTGTTGTGGAGAGTTTCCTGGAAAATCTTCAAGTGGGAAAAATCTATGAAAAGTAGGTTTTGGGTGGTCGAAAGCTTGGGCAGAAGTGTATTTTTCATTTAGCATATTTTCCGACGCGTCATTACTTTCATCAACGTCGAAAGGAGTGTTATTGAAAGTTTCAGCTGTTTCTTTAACTTCTTTTTTCTTCCCTTTTGGTGAAGGTGTTGGATCAACATCCATGATGATGGAGGTTGTTGTTTCGGAAGTGCTTGGCTCAGGAGCGGGCTCGAGAGTTCTGTTGGTATTTTGTTTCTTGGCTTTATTTGTTATGAGTGGAGACGCAGAGTGACCTCTTTGTTTGTTATTAGATTCTCTCGCTTTTCTAGTCATTTTTGTAAAGTAGCAGAGAGAGTCCCCCAAAATAATTTTTTTTATTTTTATTTTTATTTTTAACGTGTGGTATCTTCGCAAAATCTTTATTAAAATTAAAAATAATTTTATACAAAATTAAAACAAAAATAGAAAAAAATGAAAACTTTTATCTATCATAAACTATACTAGATCAAAGCTAACCTTGCACCGTCCCAGACTAATCTACCTAAAGAAAACTCTAAATAGACTTAACCATCCAGTATAGAAGGCCTGGTCGCTACTGTACCAAAAATCCGACCATTGCTTACTAAATCTAAAGGAGGAAATAAAATTTGAGGGGATAGAGAGTTATGAATGTGAAGAAGAGGGGAAACCAGTGGACACAAAGTTCTCTTTTTTGTCAGTTATTGTAATAGAAAGTTGCCTATCCATTTGATTCATAGCAGTGTTACGGTCTTTCCAAATATGAGATGCTTGTTCATAAGCATGAAAATAAACCATTGAGAGCAATAAAAGTGTTGTTTGTTGATTGAGGGTAATAGCATGTACTTGATTGAAAAGTTCGTCAGGAACAATGCCTTTGATAATATCGATAAAACAAAAGGTAGAGCCTTGTGGAATTAAATCCTACATAGAATAATGACGTAAAGGTCGTAATAGGTCATCAGATAAATTTGATCCATTAATTTCTATAAGTTGTGAGAGTAAAAGTTGTCGTGTAGTATTTATAAGAGTAGCTATCTGATTGGAAGAAGTGGAGCAAAGCCAGATATGATTAAAGTCTTCCTCAATAATTGAACAACAGCAACAAAGAAGTTGTTGATTGTAAAGAGAAGGATGTCGAGTTTTAAGAATTTCAAGAGTAGGGAGCATTTCCATCATAAATTTGTATCTTTATTTCTTAAGATAAGAAGCTTGAAAGGATGTGGATGTGTGTGATTCGTTATCATTGATAATGAAGGATGATGCAATCCAGTTGATAGAGAATCTATTATATCAAGTGAAGTATGGTGAGGAATAAGGTTGCTTGTCTAAACTCATTTTGGATTTGGCAAAACGGTAAAATTTTTAGTTTCGCCATATTTTTACTAAGTGTTTGATATAGTTTCGCCATTTTTATAAGCTTTGATATAGTTTTACCTTTTTCCAAATTTCACAGATTTTTCAATAAGATTTTAATATAATTTAACCAAGTTTTACTTTTACCATTTAGACGTCTGTTTAAACTCTTGATTTCGTCTAGCAACCTTAGTAAGGAAAGAGCATTTTGAAAGCGAATAGCCTTGAACAAGGTTTTAATAAAAAATTTGGGTGATGTGAAGATGGGCATGTTTTAGAATGCGAGGAGGTAATCTGGACCAAGAGAGTCTGAATCAAGGGAACAGGGAGGACCATCTGCCTTAGCAAGTACGTCTACTTGATTGTTGAGAACATCTTGATCATGAGCTTTGATTTTTTTGAAAGATACAACCAAATTTTTGTCATTCACCAGATGAAATAAAGCGAATCAAATCGGAAAGTATGTGATATTATATGTTGGATTTTTTGTAGGTGAGAATTTTAAGAGAAAGTCAAATTTGTTAAAGTTGTTGATCACAAATTGAGAATTTGTGCAGATGACAATAGATGATGAAGGGGGACAAACGTATAGAGCAGTGAAAATAGCAACAAGTTCTGCAAGTAATGATGAAGGAGAAGTAGAAATAAAAGTGAAGTTAAAAGCAATAGACAGATGTAAAGTATTAGATTGCAACCAGGTGATTCCCATACGGACGGATGCAGTACCTAAATTAGAAAGAGAACCATCAGTATAAAATTGAAGATCAGTGGCAGCGAGAAAGTTAGAAGAGAGTAACATAAGTCTATTAATAGTAAGTTGGTCAAAATAATTGAATAAAATTAAAGAATTGGAAAATAAAGAAGAAATAAAAGTATTAGAAAGTAAATTAGGTTGAAGAGAATTGGAAGCAAAAACAGAAAGTGCTAATTCATGTAACATGTAGGGTGAGAGAAGGCAACAAGTACCAACGTATTTGATAATTGAAGTTTTGATATTAACACAAAGCTCCGTAGGGTTTTGAAAGAAACAATAACGATTTTTTTCAAACATATTAGCAGCTCTATAGGTGGTATAGTCATTTAATATACAACTATTACATGGTTCCAAAATTGAGTTACATTGATCATTTGTCGTGACTATATGATGTTGAAAATGTACAATGCCATCGATAATTGCTAAGGTTTTCCAACAAGTGAAGAATTCAGAGCAACATTCCACATAGTAGCATAGTTTGTTTGATTATTTCTAAATATAGGAGGCCCAAAGTTGAGAATGTTTGTGTAGGAGTTGTGCAGTGCTTGGGGTAATAGACGTGAATTTAATGTGATATTCAATTCTTCTTGAAGTTTAACAAACCAACGAGGAATAGCCCGTGTGGCCATATTAGTAGAGATGATGCTAAGGTCCAAGTAAGTAAAAAGAGTAAACCCATTACTTGTCATAATCTAGTCGAGGAAAAGTATCTCTTTCTTCCTAAGATGAACTGAAAATGATCTATAATCCTTTTCGTTGAAGATGTTAACCAAAGGATGATGACCTCCAAGAATCTTATTTTGAAATTGTTGGAATGGAATCAATGATATTTCAAAACGTTTAAAAGTTGAAAGAACTGACGACCACCAGCCTTTAAATTGATTTGGGTTGGAAAATAGCCAGAAGGTCAAAGAAGAAGATGACAACCATTCTTTCTGTTGTAATTGGATCGTACGAATATGTGAGGTAAGGCCAACCAAATCTTTATCGTTAATTATTTTAAATAAGTTAGAGCATTTCGATTGTAATTGTTTGTCGAATAAATGTGATAAATTATAGTGCATTGGCGAATGAATAATAGTTGCAGAGAAAGATTTGGATAGGCGCATACTGGTTCGAAATAGTTTATGATAAGAATTCATAATGTTATTATAAAAGGTTTCAGGTAAATAAGTTAATTGCGTTCTATATTGAATTCTTGAAAGAAGGACAGAATTAAATATTGGGATTATTTGTTTATCAGTAAGTTTCTTTCTAATTATCAATTGAATGGCTAGTCTAATTTCGTTGGAAGTTTGTTGTAAAATATATTTCTTATCCTCTTTTAGAAAAAGCCAAATACCGAGATATCGAATTGGTATTTTAGGATCAGTAGGAGTGAGCCATGTTGGATTATTATTAAGTTGAAAATGTATTGATGTGGTAATGGGAATTGAGGTCAAAAGAACAGATTTATCCCAATTGACTTGAATAGAGTTCAGACTATAGAAACTGTCTGTAACATTTAGAATCTCATTAAGGTCATCTTTAGATTTGTTCAACCAAAGAGTGTCATCCATATAAGCAAGAGTAGGAACGTGAGCTTCAATAGATGTGATAACGTTTCGTAAAATATTAGGTTTTCAAGTAACTTGAGAATGGTATCCTAGTGAAGTGTTTTGGATTTTACATAATAAGGGGTCATAATAAATACACCATAAAATCGGTGATATGATTTCCCCTTAATCAATACCTGAGAGGACTGAGTAAACGGGAGTATTACCAAACGTGGTAAAGACTTGGTTAAAACGATTAGCAAAGATGAAGAGAATAAAGCATCGAAAGTTCAAAGGTAAACGAATTCTTTTCAGAGCATTATGTAGCATGCCAAGGTTTACTTGATCGTAAGCTTTGGACATGTCCTGAAATAAGATCCATAATTCTTTCGATTTAGAATGATTAACGTTGTATTTTATGTTATCCAGTATATGAATAGGTTCAAAGGTCGAACAAAAAGGAAGTCCAGTGAAGTTGTATCCTTTTAAAATGTTGTGCTTTGAGAGGATGTTCAATAGACGTTTATTGATGAGTTTAACTAAAGCTTTGCGTAGACATTCCAGAAGCGTAATTGGTCGAGTGTTATTAAGATTATATTCCCATGGTTTGGGTTTTGGAATGGGGTAAATAAAAGCAAGGTTCCATCGGTCTGGTGTGAGAGAAAGGTTGAGGCATTCACAAACAAATATCCATAACACTTTTCTCATTTTAGGACCAAGATTCTTTAGCATTTCATTTGAGATTTTTGATAGTCCTGATGCTTTATCAGTTGGAAGAGCTGAAATGATATGATAACATTCCTCTTCTGTAGGTGCAATTATAAGCTCATTATAGATATTAGGATCAATATCATTTATGGGAGTATATAAGGGAATCCATTCATCAGGTATGTTCACCTCATGGTGGCAAGAGCCGGTAACTTATTGGAAATGTCGAGCAGTCTCTTGTTTGATCTCATGAGCAGAGGTAAGTAAGCCAAGGTTTTGTTGAGAGTTATCCAAGTAATGATCAAGTGTTATAACTTTTCTTTCTCTATGAAGGATTGAGTCGATAATTTTGGTTTAGTTCTTTGAGAAGTTGTCGCAGCGTTATTCAAGTGCAAGTCTAATAGATTTAGATTTATGTTCTTCTTCTTCTGCTTTAGCTATGACAGTTAAAATGGATATAAGAGATCTAATAGTAGAAATGAATGCATGAATTGCTGATGGTGTACGCATAGTCAATGGCAAAAATTCAGTTTTATGGCTGCTGCAATTTTAACTATTTTGTCATAAATGTTAGACCATTGTGTAGGGATGCGATTGGATATAAATGCTTTTTTAGAAAGCTTTTCAAGTTTCTGAGCAGTTCTTATTCTTGGTAAACTTTTTTTAGAGATTTAGGTCTAAGGTCACGTGAGTGTTAAGACGAACGGTGAATTGGAATACATTTTTCAGCAGCTTTTACAATGCATCCTTAGATCAAATCCCAATAGAAATTCAACGCTTGTTTGGACTTTAATTTATGCTTATCCAAGGTGACCAGTTGACAAGAGGTAAAAAGAGTATCAGATTTATGAGAAAAAGCTGACCAATCATCAGTCGACATATGATCATATTGAAAGGAGACATTTTTTATAGGAGTCTTAGATGTCGAAGATACAATTTCTGGGATAAAAAAGGAAGTTGTAACTATTGTATAGTCAAATAAGTTATAATCTATGTCAATTGTGGTTGCATTTTGTAGATTAGTTGTTAGACCTGTCAAACAGAAAATGTGATCAATTCTTGAAGGAGAGTGACATATAGTATTATAGAAAGTGAGGAAGTTCAAATTAGCATTTTCGTGTAGAAGATCACATATGTTAAAAATATTTGCATTATCCAATTGATCAAAAAATCTATTAGAGTTGGATGGATTAATAGATCGATTCAGTACTGCGTTGAAGTCTCCTAAAAGTATAATGTCCATATTATTTAATCGTGCTTAGTTGAGAAGGTTGGTGACTGCGTCGAAAGTATTATTACGAAGTGTGGAATTCGAACTAGAAATATAACAATTAATAATGTGAAGTCGATATTTATTACGAAATTGGAGGTCGATATAAATATAGTGACCCAAACCACCATTACTAGCATAAATGTGGTCTGCTAATTGTTTTTTGATAATAATTCCTACACCAAAGCCAGATTTTTGTATATTTTGTTTATGGTTGAGAAAGATCTTATAGTTGAGATCAAGAATATTGGATAAAGATTTGTTGGAGGTTGTAATGAGATCAGTTTCTTGAATTCCTATAATATCTAAACGATGGAGAAGGTAAAGTTGGACTAAAATTTGTTGTTTATATTGTTGGGTGAAAGATCGAACATTATGTGTAGCTGTTTTTAAAAGATGCTGATTATTAAGATTATCTACAGGTGGATTATCATTTACATTTTGATACGTATCTGTTGTATTAATCATTAATTAAAGTTGTTTGGGTGGTGGTGGAACTTTATAATTTTTGTCATCATAGAACGAAGACGGTGCAGATTTTACAAGTTCCATAATAGGAATAAGCCTGTCTTGGGATATCATCTCATGGTGGACAAGCATTCTTTGCATTTGAGCTACTGCAGCAAGGGCGCTATTGAGTTTGTCAAAGTTGGCACTTAAGTTTTATTTGAGAATGGAGTTTTCTAGTTGGAGCTCTATAACCTGGACTTCCTGTTGACGGATAGTGGATTTTGAAGTATCAATCCCAGCAATAACCACATCCTTCTGATCACCGTTTTCATCCATCTCATCAATCGGATCTTTTAGTGGATTAGAGTTGATTATTTTTGCTTGTTCAGGTGAAATAGAAGAGATGTTGAGTACCGCTTCAATCATACTGACTCTAGTGAGAGTAAAAGCGAGATTATTATGGATATCGGCGAGTTGTTGAGAAACATTATTGATTTGAGTTAGGATGGCGTCAAGTTGTGATGGTTGGTATTTGTTCTGGTGACGAACAATATCTTTTTCTGTTTCATCAGCCCAAGATCCAGACGCATGAATACTATCATCCAAAGTGTAGCCTTTGTTATGAGGTGTATTATGTTTAGGAACTTCTTTAGGGAATGGTTTATTTTTTGGGACAGGTGGTGGTTCAGAAAAATCGTCATCAGTCAATTTGACAATATAAGCAAAGGATGAACCATTTGGGCCAGGTGTATTATATTGTGTAAATCCACCTTTGTTACTATTGTTACGGTTGTTGGTAGAAGGTTTTGGAGTAGGTTTAAGTTTGATTGGAGGAGCCGAGTAATTTTTGAATTGAGCAGGTTGATAGCGTTGATAGAGATTTTGGAGTTGTCGATCTTTTGGGGATGTACGTTTGCGTTTACAATCATGAGACATGTGACCTGAGGCTAAACAAATAAAACACAATTTTTGGCCAGGATCTGTCCAGGTAAGTCTATTTCTATCAAGGTATATAGAGTCTTCTTCTTTGGCCAAGTCAAGGGTCTCTTGGTCTGAAAAGTACATGATTGTGTATTGAAGGTTTCTATAGGACGCTTTAGATTTGGGGATGACCCATGCGATAGCATGAACAGCGTAACCTATCTCATTAAGTTGTCATCCATTGGTATCAATCAACTGGAAGATTGGTGAGTTTTAAGGAGAATTTTGATTTGAGACGAACCTCATCGTTGGAAAGTGCACATAGATGTATACAGACCATGTCTTTGAGAACAAAAAATCCATGGTAATTGTTGAATTGCGTCATATCAGTACCTGTGGTGAAAGTAATTGTGGCTTGTTGCCACAAATTTTTGGTGATCATGATACAATGTGCAATAGTACCAAAAAAGGCAAATGATGACCTGATGTTAGATTCTGTTATTATGATCGGAATCTCAGTAACTTTGATAGACATTTCGGGGGTGAATCTCGTTGGTGGTGTAACATCTAATGGTAAAAACGTGGTATTATCTGAATCTGGAATAGAGATCTTAATAGCACGTTCCAAGTTATCTTGTGTAGTAAAACTAATACAGATAATTTTCTTTGTTGGTTCCTGTGGGTGATTTCTAAAAATAGCACCAGTAAATGAGGGGAATTGTGATCCGTTGAACAAATTACAGTAACACCTCTATAAATGCACGCTCTATAAATGCACACCCTCTCTATATGCACACTATAGCTTGGTCCCAAGCTTGGGACTTAGAGCTAAATGCACACCCTCTATATTCTACACGTGCAAGTAATTTTAAGTCCCGGGTATAATTGGAATACCTCTATAAATACACTCACGTGACTAATTCATAAATCCAGCCAATCAGAAACAACCGTTTATTCACATGATTGATTTTATTATCGAAGTAAAATATACTATTTGATGGGTAAATTCGCAGTAAATCAATGATTTTATGTGTATTGTGAATGTCTTAAAAAAGTATATCAGATAATATATTTGACTATAAATTTTACATTTTTGTAAAAAAAAGGGTATTTAGTGAGTGCGAGTGTGTGAACAAATATTTGTATTTCATTGTAACTAAACCAAATTAGTATTAATTGGAGAAAATTTAGAAGCGAGTACATATGTGGAATAATTATACTTAAGAGGAAATAAAGCATAAACAAACCTATAAATAAAGAAAGTAAATTGTTGAAAATATCACAAAAAGGAATAGGATCATGATTAAGTTCCATCATGTATCTAAATAAAAAATTTCCGCCCAATTTTTATTGATGTTGTTTGATACATTGAAATCAACAAAAAATGTCTCTTAAAAAAACCACTCTCACTGAAATTCAAAAGCGAGATTTTTGTAAATATGCTCGTGATAATAGCAAAAAAACTCGAGCCCAGTATATCGATTGGATTGAAGAACAGTGGGGCCTTAGAGTTAGCGAAAGTACTATTACCCGTACCCTACAAACAGCAGACAAACGACTTGGTTCAGAAATCATCAGCCCAAATACAAAGCGACATAAACCCGTTTCTTATCCAGAACTCGAGTTTGCGCTTAAAGAATTTGTTTTAGAATATCAGCATCAGACGATTTTAAGTGATGCAATACTTATCGAGAAAGCTAAAATGATTGCTGACGGATTAGGGATTCCCCAGGATGCATTTCAATTTTCTCAAGGATGGCTTCAAAAGTTTAAGGATCGCAATGGAATTCGTCAACGAAAGCTTGAAGGAGAAGCTTCATCTGCTGATGAAGTTGCCATTGCTAATGCCCTACCTTTATTAAGGGAACGCTGCTCTAATTATCCTCTTGAGAGAATCTACAATATGGATGAAACTGGACTATTTTACAGGTAAAATTTTTAGTAATACAATTAAAAGAACAAAAAAATTAAAACAAAAGAAATACTTATCTTGCATGATTGTAGGCTAGAACCCGATCGAACGCTTGCAACCAAACGTCTTGCTGGACGTAAGGTGAATAAAGAACGCCTTTCAATCGCGTTATGTGTGAATGCCGATGGATCACACAAATTCAAACCTCTAATAATCGGGAAATATGAAAGACCGCGTTGTTTTAAAAATGTAAGGATTCATAGTATGCCCATGATGTATCGTAACAATGCCAAAGCCTGGATGATTACATCACTTTTTCAGGAGTGGATTCGGGAGTTTGATCGCCAAGTTGGTCTAAAGTATCAAGGCCAGCGGGTATTACTTCTTCTTGATAACTGTTCCAGCCACAAATTAGTCGGCCTTACCTTACAATATACCGATGTTCATTTTTTACCTCCGAACACGACTTCAAAAATCCAACCGATGGAT